ACAAAGTATGAAGGATGCAGGTCTTCTACCTTCTGAAATATTTAGCTTTTAAGAAGTTTGTTAACACCGCCGCCGCCGCCGCTGCCGCCACCGGATCACTATCCGTATGTCGTGCTTTTTGCGACAGAAGTCGCAGGCTCGACAAAAAATTATCATTTGTTTTCTTCATATAATGGAAGAGAATGACTATGTTGTATCTATTCGTGATGATTTGTTATTTAACGTTCAGTTGCAATTTGCGTTTAAAGTTCGTAGTCATATATTACATGAATATCAGGATGAGAACATTGAACAAGCTCATGTTTTTTTCTGGCTGTTAATATCGTCTTTACACTACATCCATTGGGTGTTGGATGTGGATTGATTAATTCTTTAGTCTTAGATACATGACTGTTTTTATAAGTTGTAATTGGCTTTAAACCATTTGTTAGTAACAGCGAGTATTCTCAGATCCGTACCTAGCGTCTTTTTTGTTGTAGAGATGTATAAATACCTTACCACGTTCGGTCTGTGTTATGTTACTTTTTCTTCTGCTTTGTATCGATATGAATTTAGCCCTTTTCAACTGATTTTTCTAGTTTGTTCATAGGTTGCGCTGTTACACCACTTTCCCAGTTTACGGGGAGGTTTGGGCGCCCGCAGACATGTTTAACCTCCACATTTATTTGTGTCTGTTTCAAGTCAGGATTCTGTAATTTAGTTGTTCTCGTTTGTTGCTGTATGTCATATTTTTTTTTTCGTTCATTGACTTGTACATATATCAGGCCGTTAGTTTTCTCGTTTGAATTGTTTTACATTCGTCATTTCCGGGCCTTTTATAGCTGACTATGCGGTATGGGATTTGCTCATTGTTGATGTCCGCACGGTCACATAACGTTGTTAACGTCTATGTTATTTGGTCTCTGGTAAAGAGTTGTCTCATTGGAAATCATACCACAACTTCTTATTTTTATAGTATGATATGATAAAAATGTGAACCCGGCTTTGTATTAGACGATTACGCTGAGCTAGATTTTTGATGAAATTAACGATACTAATTTCATGCACAAGATCCACATTTGGAAAATAAATGTTCCTTCTGTGATGTTCGAAGCAAACATATTCAAAAATTTAGAGCCTAATACGAACGTTTAAGAATCTGATGTTCAGTAGGTGTCGTTTGTTGATGTGGTTCATAAGTGTTTCTCGTTTATTATATAGAGTAGACCGTTGGTTTTCCCGTTTGAATGGTTTTACACTAGTTATTTTTTGGGCTCTTTATAGCTTGCTGTTCGGTGTGAGCCAAGGCTCCGTGTTGAAGACCGTACTTTGACCTATAATGGTTTACTTTTATAAATTTTAACTTGGATGGAGAGTTGTCTCATTGGCACTCATACCACATCTTCTTATATCTGTTAAAGAGTTAACATGACCGACAATGACCAAAAGTAATCAAAACCTGGACTTCCGTGCTAGTGTACAAAGTAACAGTCCGATGTCAGCCTATTATTCCGAATCCGAGCTGACAAAATTATTTCTTACCTCTGAATCCGTGCATAGAAGAGAAGCAGTCAATACCATTTTTCATGGTTTTTAATCAAGCGAGCCGACATTGACGAGACCGCCGAGGGCGTTTATATTCATGACACAAAATTTATATGTGCACTTGGCAAAAAGAAAAGGATTTTATTGCTGTCCTTCATCTGACAGTTACACTAATACCTATCAGTATACACTTAGTTTAGTGTTGGAGAACATATCTGCAAAGCTCTGTCATTTTTCAGAAATAGGTTGTTGTTGTTAATGACTCATTCCTTGTGATAGTATTGCCATTGCTAAGTGATTCAATAACTAGCTGAGAAAACTTAAATAAATAAGAAAACATTCAACCTTATCCATAAAAAAAAATACCAACGAGAAGCACAATAGGGACTACAGCTGAGTTGTAATCTATATGGATTTTATTTATAGTGGAAGAAACAGGGTTTTTGTATGTGGGGAACTTCTTTTAATGAAGATTGTGGCTGTATTGTTTTAATAACACACCTTATCAGAAATTCTAAAATATACATTACAAGGGGATATTTTAAAGTTTGGTTCTATCTGGATCAGGCATAGCAAAACGTAGATTGGAATGAGCCCTTAGTTTAACTGTACTGTCTGCTGACATTTAATAAATATTGAATTACCAAAAATATGTCCAATTCTTTTCTATAAATTGCTACGGACTGTAATCTTGACCGTTGACTTGTATACCTCAAACTAAATAGAAGCCTTTATCACCCTAAAGAACATTACCAATCACACATCAGATATTGGCTTAAAATATAGTTTGATCTACTGACCCCAAACATCGATCGGATATAGCTCGTTCTAATGGGGCACTTTAAAGCTAAAATTGGTGAAGTTTTGACAGATGATTAAAATTATATCATTGGAAAACCAATATTGCCCTATTTTGATGCTATTAATTGCTGCTGTGACATTGACATTTGACTAGTGACCTGAAATCAATATGGGCTTTTTTCACCCCAAAGCAAATTATCGAAAGGTTTGTAAAGATATTCCATATGGCTTAAAAGATAACATTTGAAACGAACTTATTCCCAAGATGTCAGTATAATAACAGGCGCAGTGACATTGACCTTGGCCTTTGACCTAATAATCCTGACATCAGTACGGATCTTCCTAATCCTATGGAGCATTATTGAATCACTTTTTCTAAAAAATTGACATATGGTTCAATGATATTATCCATAAACCATTGTTGCACCACATCAAATTTTAAAACTGTTGAACGCCGAACAGGTGACCAATAGTTGCTTACATCCACATTATTTGGACTATGGTTGAATAGTTGTCTCATTGGCAATCATACCATTCTTCCTTTTTTATTACCAGTCTATGTATATAGCAGCATAGAAATCGACATTTGACCACATGAACCAAAATCAATAGGATTTCAATCCACTCTGAGGAGTTAATTTCACAGGGTGTCATCATAATACAATAGCATACGATAGTACACATGCTGAAATGTCTCACCTTTTAAGTTTTAAATAAATAACATTAGGAATGATCAATGTAAATGAGGTCAAAGTCAGATGAACCCTGCTAGACAGACAGGTACATCTAACTATCATTCTATAGACCAAATATAGTTGACATATTACTCATACGTATAACATCTGACAAATAGACTAAATCAGAAAAAATAACATTGACCAACGATCAATGAAAATGAGGTCAAGGTTAGATGAAATCTGCCAGTCAGGCTTGTACACGTTACAACTATTCCATACATCAAATATAGTTGCCCTATTGCTTATAGCATCTGAGATGCGGACTTGGCCACGTAAACTTAACCTTTATCACTGATCCATGAAATGAGGTCGAGGTCAGTTGAAACGTGTCTGACGAACATATAGGACTGGCAAGAAACCCATATACCAAATATAGCTATCCTATCACTCATAAGAAGTGAGACAATTACATGAAAAAAATACACAATTTTTTTGCAAGCAGTCGCTGAACCATGAAAATGAGGTCAAGGCCAACTGACATATGACAGACGAAGACTCTATAACATAAGGCATCTGCATACAAGGTATGAAGCATCCATGTCTTCTTCCTTTTGAAATATGAAGCATTAAACAAATAGTTAATGCCTTGATGCAACCGGATTGATATCCCTATGTCTCGCAGTCGCAGGCGAGACAAAAAACGGTGGCCTACAATTGCTTTCATTAAAGCCAATTTGTCTCTGGGGGAAAGCTGTCTCACTGGCAAGTTTTCATCATACAACAATCCTAGTTTGATTAAGTGGCAGCTCCACTAAAAATGGGATCCATCATTCACCTGTAGTTCAAATAAATGATGAATGTCTTCTTCAAAGTTATCAAGTGTTTCCTAGGAATATTGTTCATACCAATGTTAACCAAATGATCCTTTTAACAAATTAAAGGATTGACACAGATGACACTATCTGAAATGATCCTTTTAACAAATTAAAGGATTGACACAGATAACACTATCTGAAATGATCCTTTTAACAAATTAAAGGATTGACACAGATAACACTATCTGAAATGATCCTTTTAACAAATTAAAGGATTGACACAGATAACACTATCTGAAATGATCCATTTAACAAATTAAAGGGTTGACACAGATGACACTATCTGAAATGATCCATTTAACAAATTAACAGATCCACAAAAAACAAATATTTGAAATGGTCCTTTTAACAAATAAAAGGATTGACACAGATAACACTATCTGAAATGATCCTTTTAACAAATTAAAAGATCCACAAAAAACAATTATTTGAAATGGTCCTTTTAACAAATTAAAGGATTGACACAGATGACACTATCTGAATTGATCCTTTGAACAAATTAACAGATCCACCAAAAACAAATATTTGAAATGGTCCTTTTAACAAATTAACATATCAACAAAAGATGACACTATCTGAAATGATCCTTTTAACAAATTAACATATCAACCAAAGATGACACTATCTGAAATGGTCCTTTTAATAAATAACATATCAACCAAAGATGACACTATCTGAAATGGTCCTTTTAATAAATAACATATCAACCAAAGATGACACTATCTGAACTGATCCTTTTAATAAATAACATATCAACCAAAGATGACACTATCTGAAATGATCCTTTTAATAAATAACATATCAACCAAAGATGACACTATCTGAAATGATCCTTTTAATAAATAACATATCAACCAAAGACGACACTATCTGAAATGATCCTTTTAACAAATTAACATATCAACCAAAGATGACACTATCTGAAATGGTCCTTTAAACAAATTAGCAGATCTTCTTATATCTCTTTAAACAAATTAACAGATCTTCTTATATCTCTTTAAACAAATTAACATATCAACCAAAGATGACACTATCTGGAATGGTCCTTTCAACAAATTAACAAATCAACCAAAGATGACACCATCTGAAAGTATATGCCAAAATGGTTTTGTCAAACAAATAATCAATACTGAGAATATATTTATTATAATTATTTTTTTCTGACTCTAATTATATCAACACATACATGTATTACTTTTTTACAATGTAAACAAAATATAATTCAAATAATACAAAATATTAAAAATCAGTACAATATCTTCATTGAAACTTATAAATTATATATATTTTCATATTTTTGTAGCTCTATGATTTTGAAAGAAATTTATTTATAATATACTGTCAGTATAATTACTAAGATGCAGGGCGACCAGAATCTTCCATGGATTGCCTGATGATCAACAATGTCTTTGAAAAATATTATTAATGCAAGATATAATATTAAAGGATATTTCAAAAAATAAAAAAAATAAAATACAAATCTTAAAGTAGTTGCATTGTTTGTACAATAAGTTAAATATCATTTGTAATAAAAAACAAGTAAAAATTATGTCACTATCAAATTTTTTCCTGTATCTTAAGACTTGATAAAAAAATGTATTTTCCTTGGAATGTATGGTTATGTCATATCACTATAATTCTTTCCTATAAATATTCCTTCAATTCTACAAAATGATTAAAAATAGTATATGATTTACAGCAGCAATATATAGATACATTTGCATTTCTCCTACTGTGCAAATGTATAAACATCATATATTATTTACAACATATTTAAACACAGGGAAACAAATCAAACCCGAAGGCAAATATAATACCAAACGAAAAAATATATACAAGTCTAAATTGAAAACAACGTTCAAACCTATGATTGCGTTAGATAATATATACATGTACAGTGTATATGATGAAATACCTACAGAGAGTAGAAACATGAACCAACATTTTGTAGCAATAAACATAAAACAGTAATTCATAATTTCTATACACAGGAGGGCTTTTCATATATAAAGGTATATACAGACGCTGGTATTGATCACTTTTGGGTATGACAAATATATCAATGGGGTCCAATTGTACAGAGGTAAAATAAAAATGGGTAACAATTTATGTCTATGTGTTATAAATGTTTATCTTCTGCTGAGAATTCTATCAAACCTGTGTTATGATCTTTTCATCTAATAATAAGAAAGATACCATGTGGTTAGCATCTAAATAAAATATCCTGGAAGCTGGAAAATATGGGATATTCCTTAAATCAATACCAATGAATTATAAGCTATACTTTATATATATAAAAAGATCAATACATAACAATAATTAGTTTGTTAATTATAATGATACTTACTTTCTACTTGTCATTTACAAAAATAAGGAGATGTGGGTATGATTGCCAAAGAAACAACTATACAACAATGTAAAATAAGGAGATATGTATGCTTGCCAATGAGACAACTATCCACCAAAGTAAAAATAAGGAGATGTGGTTTGATTGCCAATAAGACAACTATCCACCAAAGTTAAAATAAGAAAAGATGGAGTAAAAATAAGGAGATGGGGTAGATTGCCAATGAGGCACAATCCACCAAAGTATAAATAAGGAGATGAGGTTTGATTGCCAATGAGACAACTATCCACCAAAGTATAAATAAGGAGATGGGGTATGATTGCCAATGAGACAACTATCCACCAAAGTAAAAATAAGGAGATGGGGTTTGATTGCCAATGAGACAACTATCCACCAAAGTAAAAATAAGGAGATGGGGTAGATTGCCAATGAGACAACTATCCACCAAAGTATAAATAAGGAGATGGGGTTTGATTGCCAATGAGACAACTATCCACCAAAGTTAAAATAAGGAGATGTGGTATGATTACCAATGAGACAACTATCCACCAAAGTAAAAAATAAGGAGATGGGGTTTGATTGCCAATGAGACAACTATCCACCAAAGTAAAAATAAGGAGATGTGGTATGATTGCCAATGAGACAACTATCCACCAAAGTAAAAAAAAGGAGATGGGGTTTGATTGCCAATGAGACATCTATCCACCAAAGTAAAAATAAGGAGATGTGGTATGATTGCCAATGAGACAACTATCCACCAAAGTAAAAATAAGGAGATGTGGTTTGATTGCCAATAAGACAACTATCCACCAAAGTTAAAATAAGAAAAGATGGAGTAAAAATAAGGAGATGGGGTAGATTGCCAATGAGGCACAATCCACCAAAGTATAAATAAGGAGATGGGGTTTGATTGCCAATGAGACAGCTATCCACCAAAGTTAAAATAAGGAGATGTGGTATGATTACCAATGAGACAACTATCCACCAAAGTAAAAATAAGGAGATGGGGTTTGATTGCCAATGAGACAACTATCCACCAAAGTAAAAATAAGGAGATGTGGTATGATTGCCAATGAGACAACTATCCACCAAAGTAAAAAAAAGGAGATGGGGTTTGATTGCCAATGAGACATCTATCCACCAAAGTAAAAATAAGGAGATGTGGTATGATTGCCAATGAGACAACTATCCACCAAAGTAAAAATAAGGAGATGGGGTTTGATTGCCAATGAGACAACTATCCACCAAAGTTAAAATAAGAAAAGATGGAGTAAAATAAGGAGATGGGGTAGATTACCAATGAGGCACAATCCACCAAAGTATAAATAAGGAGATGGGGTTTGATTGCCAATGAGACAACTATCCACCAAAGTAAAAATAAGGAGATGGGGTTTGATTGCCAATGAGACAACTATCCACCAAAGTTAAAATAAGAAAAGATGGAGTAAAAATAAGGAGATGGGGTAGATTGCCAATGAGGCACAATCCACCAAAGTATAAATAAGGAGATGGGGTTTGATTGCCAATGAGACAACTATCCACCAAAGTAAAAATAAGGAGATGGGGTATGATTGCCAATGAGACAACTATCCACCAAAGTAAAAATAAGGATATGTGGTATGATTGCCAATGAGACAACTATCCACCAAAGTAAAAAAAAGGAGATGGGGTTTGATTGCCAATGAGACAACTATCCACCAAAGTAAAAATAAGGAGATGTGGTATGATTGCCAATGAGACAACTATCCACCAAAGTAAAAAAAAGGAGATGGGGTTTGATTGCCAATGAGACAACTATCCACCAAAGTAAAAATAAGGAGATGGGGTTTGATTTGCCAATGAGACAACTATCCACCAAAGTAAAAATAAGGAGATGTGGTATGATTGCCAATGAGACAACTATCCACCAAAGTAAAAAAAAGGAGATGGGGTTTGATTGCCAATGAGACAACTATCCACCAAAGTAAAAATAAGGAGATGTGGTATGATTGCCAATGAGACAACTATCCACCAAAGTAAAAATAAGGAGATGGGGTTTGATTGCCAATGAGACAACTATCCACCAAAGTTAAAATAAGGAGTTTGGTGATATGATTGCCATTAAGACAACTATCCACCAAAGTTAAAATAAGGAGATGGGGTATGGGGTTTGATTGCCAATTAGACAACTATCCACCAAAGTAAAAATAAGGAGATGGGGTTTGATTGCCGATGAGACAACTATCCACCAAAGTTAAAATAAGGAGTTTGGTGATATGATTGCCATTAAGACAACTATCCACCAAAGTTAAAATAAGGAGATGGGGTATGATTGCCAATGAGACAACTATCCACCAAAGTAAAAATAAGGAGATGGGGTTTGATTGCCGAAGAGACAACTATCCACCAAAGTAAAAATAAGGAGATGTGGTATGATTGCCAATGCAATGAGACAACTATCCACCAAAGTTAAAATAAGGAGATGGGATATGATTACCAATGAGAAAACTATCCACCAAAGTAAAAAAAAGGAGATGGGGTTTGATTGCCAATGAGACAACTATCCACCAAAGTAAAAAATAAGGAGATGTAGTATAGCTGCCAATGAGACAACTATCCACCAAAGTAAAAATAAGGAGATGTGGTATGGCTCCCAATGAGATAACTGTCCACTAAAGTAAAAATAAGGATATTGGATATGATTGTCAATGAGACAACTATCCACCAAAGTAAAAAAAAGGAGATGGGGTATGATTACCAATGAGACAACTATCCACCAAAGTAAAAAAAAGGAGATGGGGTATGATTACCAATGAGACAAATATCCACCAAAGTTAAAATAAGAAAAGATGGAGTAAAAATAAGGAGATGGGGTAGATTGCCAATGAGGCTCTATCCACCAAAGTATAAATAAGGAGATGAGGTTTGATTGGCAAAGAGACAACTATCCACCAAAGTTAAAATAAGGAGACGTGGTATGATTGCCAATGAGACACTATCCATCAAATTAAAACTAAGAAGATGTGGTATGATTGCAAATGACACAACTATTAACCAAAGTAAAATTAGGGAGATGTGGTATAATTACCAACAAAACAACTATCCACCAAAGTTAAAATAAACAGTTTGGGATATGGGGTTTGATTGCCAATTAGACAACTAAGGAGATGGGGTATGGTTGCCAATAAGACAACTATCCACCAAATTAAAACTAAGGAGATGTGGTATGATTGCAAATGACACAACTATTAACCAAAGTAAAATTAGGGAGATGTGGTATAATTACTAACAAGACAACTATCCACCAAAGTTAAAATAAACAGTTTGGGATATGGGGTTTGATTGCCAATGAGACAACTATCCACCAAAGTAAAAATAAGAAGACAGGGTTTGATTGCCGATGAGACAACTATCCACCAAAGTTAAAATAAAGAGTTTGGAATATGGGGTTTGATTGCCAATTAGACAACTATCCACCAGAGTAAAAATAAAGAGATGGGGTATGATTGCCAATGAGACAACTATCCACCAAAGTAAAAATAAAGAGATGGGGTATGATTGCCAATGAGACAACTATCCACCAAAGTAAAAATAAAGAGATGGGGTATGATTGCCAATGAGACAACTATCCACCAAAGTAAAAATAAGGAGATGTGGTATAATTGCCAATGAGACAACTATCCACCAAACTAAAACTAAGGAGATTTGGTATGATTCCCAATCAGACAACAATCCACCAAAGTAAAAATAAGGAAATGTGGTATGATTGCCAATGCAATGAGACAACTATCCACCAAAGTAAAAATAAGGAGATGGGGTATGGTTGCCAATGAGACAACTATCCACCAAAGTAAAAATAAGGAGACGTGGTATGATTGCCAATGCAATGAGACAACTATCCACCAAAGTATAAATAAGGAGATGGGGTATGGTTGCCAATGAGACAACTATCCACCAAAGTAAAAATAAGGAGATGGGGTATGGTTGCCAATTAGACAACTATCCACCAAAGTAAAAATAAGGAGACGTGGTATGATTGCCAATGCAATGAGACAACTATCCACCAAAGAAAAAATAAGGAGACGTGGTAAGATTGCCAATGAGACAACTATCCACCTAAGTAAAAATAAGGAGATGTGGTATAATTGCCAATGAGATAACTATCAACTGAAAAGCAATTTAGTCACAAATCATATAAGGCTATTTATATGACAATGAAGTTCGATTTGAATTTAGGAATGCAGGGTGTTTTTTAGCCTGACATTTGTACCCAAATTTGTATGTTGAGACCCCCCTACTGTGTTTGTATACTGGTGTAACAATAGACTGGTGGTAAAAACATCAATAAATTTTCATGTAATATAAAGCTAAGCTGCATGTGCTTTGTAAAATTAGAGACAGAGTAGTGAAATGAATAGCTGTAGATATCAAACCTATTAGATAAATAACAGATCATACCAGTGAGCAAAGAACATCAGCAGTTGTATGATAATTTTCAAATGGGTAATATATATGAAAATCAGACTTTGTGTGAAAACTGAATAAAAGAGTTTAACAAACCACTGACCAAAGAAAAAAAGTTAGGAAGAATTTTGTTCCTCATTCTTTGTGTGATTTGTTAACACCATTACTATAGATGTATGTCCATTATCTGTTGCAATCTTTAAAGGGGATTCCCCATCAAGTCTACACATCTGTGTATCTGCACCTTTATCTAACAATAAATGTACAATATCCTCATGTCCTACTTCACATGCATAAAATAATGGTGTTGTTCCATCTTCTTTTGTCATGTTGATGTTAGCATTATGGTCAAGAAGACAAATGACTACATCTGTCCTACCCATATAACTGGCTATGTGTAAAGGAGAAGAACCAGCTACTACATCAAAGGCATAATCTACTGACTTCTGACTGACATAATCTCTTACATGTGATGGTGTATTCTTTACCAGACTATCAAATAATAATTGTTTTACTTCGTCCAATGTTTTACTTGGATGGTTATTTAATGTATCTGTTATAGACTGTTTACTATGGATACAGATATTACAGTCGGCATTATTCTCTAACAGTAACTGTGTTATCTCTAGGTTTCCATTCCTTGCACTGAAATATAAAGAATTACAACCATTGAATGTCTGGGCATTATTGTTTGGTTTATGTTTAATTAATAGCTGGACTATACTGGTGTGGTTATTGATACACAAGAAGATCAATGGCGTAAAGCCATTGTTGTTACATATATCAACGTTAGGATTCTTCTCTAACAGTAACTTTACTATATCAGTATGTCCTTCATCACTTGCTGTATTCAGAGGACTCCAGTCATCATTGTTACATAGATCTACATTAGGATTCTTCTCTAACAGTAACTTTACTATATCAGTATGTCCTTTGTTACTTGCTGTATTCAGAGGACTCCAGCCATTGTTGTTACATAGATCAACATTAGGATCCTTCTCTAACAGTAACTTTACTATATCAGTATGTCCTTCATCACTTGCTGTATTCAGAGGACTCCAGTCACCATTGTTACATAGATCAACATTGGGATCCTTCTCTAACAGTAACTTTACTATATCAGTATGTCCTTCATCACTTGCTGTATTCAGAGGACTCCAGTCATCATTGTTACATAGATCAACATTGGGATCCTTCTCTAACAGTAACTTTACTATATCAGTATGTCCTTTATAACTTGCTATATTCAGAGGACTCCAGTCATCATTGTTACATAGATCTACATTAGGATTCTTCTCTAACAGTAACTTTACTATATCAGTATTTCCTGTATTACTTGCCATTAACAGAGGACTACAGCCATCATTGTCACATAGATCTACATTAGGATTCTTCTCTAACAGTAACTTTACTATATCAGTATGTCCTTTATCACTTGCTATATTCAGAGGACTACAGCCAACCTTGTTACATAGATCAACATTAGGATTCCTCTCTAACAGTAACTTTACTATATCAGTATGTCCATTCTGACTTGCCAGTAACAGAGGACTACAGCCATCATTGTCACATAGATCAACATTAGGATTCCTCTCTAACAGTAACTTTACTATATCAGTATGTCCTTCCTGACTTGCCATGTACAGTCCATTAACCTCATCATCTCTACACTGATCTACATCCACATCATTACATAAAATCCACTGAACCATATCAATATACCCATAATAACAAGTATCTATCAGTGGAGTATTACCTGATGTACAGCTCTCCTTTGGTCTCACTGTATCCTTGGTGTTGGCTAATGTTACTTGTTGTGGTTTATCTAGTTGTAGTAAGTACTGTAAAAACTGTTCTCTGAATGATGATTCTTCCATATTATTGTTACTGAATACATCTGCCACCTTACCTGCTAACCAGTCCTTTATCAACCTTTCTAGATATGATTCTAAATAATCATCTGGTATTTCTATAATGAAGTCCATGTTACTTGTCTTGTCATCTGGTGATTTCTGCCAAATGAAACGTTCAAGTACTAATTCACTTTCACCATGATTTATCAAACATTCAATCATTTTCTGACCAAAGTAATGAGCAAGGAAGTCAAACAATTTATCATGTACAGTTCTATAAATACCATTCTGTTTACATATAAATGTACCATCTAGAGTGTCAAGTGCTTTCTTTAGTTTTGCCTTTGATGTACTTCTGTTGATTTCACAAGCATCACATGTGTCTTCTATGACATGTCGTTGTTCATCTGTCATTTTACCATGGAACCATTTTTCTTTCAAATCATTATTAAAGATAACACATAAAGCAAGACTACATATTTTAAAGTTCCCTTCGTCACCAGCCTCACTTAATTTGTCTAGCTCATCTTTATAGACAACAAACGGATTTCTGAAAAATTCTTTCATATCTGAATTTTTTTGTGCATGATATAAGGAGCATAAAAGTGGAAAAAATTCACTATTTTGAGATAAATCATCAATATCTTTAACATTTGTACCAATATATGATTTTGCTATAGTTGTTTTCTCATCAGATGTAAGACATAATTCATCTGAATTCAAGTTACATTCACAAGATTTAAAAGGTAGTAATATCTTAAACTTATCATCCTTATAAACTTGTAACCTACAAGATACAATAATCTTACAACATTTGTCTGCAACAATCTTGTTAATCACAGGTAACAGTTGTTTCCAGTTATCAATCTGTTGTTGGTTAGCAGTGTAATTTCCACAAATATCATCTACAATGAAGACTGTCTGTTTACCAGGCTGGTAATAATCTCTTATATCTGTTGGAGCATACACCGGTATTATTTTGTATCCTTTCTTCTGTAAAACAAGCGCTGTATGTCTACAGATGAAAGATTTTCCAACTCCTGCTGGGGCAGTTAAAGTAACACAATTGTTGTCCTGTACACATTCGATGACATAATCACTGGCTCTTGTAGACACAAACTTCTTATCTTTCTTTACCCAATCTTCTATTTGTTCTTTTATCTGCTCTAAATATATCAGGTTATAAATAATCAAAAATAATTTCAATTCAACTATCTTTTATGCATTCAAGTTTAAAACAGATATAAACTGGAAGTTTTATACAGTACTCAAAACACGTTCTACACCGAATACTATTGACTGAGCAAATTATATTTTGAAACACTGATATTATCCCAAAACATAATGAATATCACTAAAAGATCAAAATCACTGCAAATTTAGGTGACTTAGAAAAGTGACCAGATTTTAGGGTGAAGTCATACATGTTTATATTATTATCCTATGTCAAAAAATAAGATAGATCTCAACCTGGCAGTCTGTATATATAAAAATAATTTGTCTCACACTTGGATAAAAAACATAGAAACTCCAAGGAGCCTGTTTCACCCATCTGACATTTTTGCATAAAACTAATACAATGCAATAAGAATATTTGTGTTGAACAGAAACTTTGAGGGCCAACATCATGTTTTGCTGATTATTTTTAGATGTTAGGATCATTCAGCTAAAGTTTGGTTGGAATTGGTTCAGTAGTTTCAGAGGAGAAGATTTTTTAAAGTAAGAAAACATGATAAACAAATTGTGTAAAATTGTCTTTAAAGGGCAATAACTCCTTAAGGGGTCAATTGACAATTTTGGTCATATAAAACTTATTTGTAGATCTTACTTTGTTGAACAGTTTTGCTGTTTACAGTTTATCTTTATCTATAATAATATTCAAGATAATAGCCAATAAAATGCTTCGCTGGGGCACAGCTTGATACGACCGCAGAGGTCGAACCCTGAACAGTTGGGGCAAGTATGGACACAACATTCAAGCTTGATACAGCTCTGAATTTGGATTGTTATTAAATATTTGAAACAGCATAGGTTTCTGACACAGAAAGAATGTGGTCTAAGAACTTGAATTTTTTTAATTTACCTATTATGGTCCAATGTCCAAAATCAAAATACATGGTTAGATTCAACATATCAAAGAACCCCATATATTCAATTTTTGTTAAAATCAAACAAAGTTTAATTTTGGACCCCAACTTGGACAAACTTGAAAACTGGGCCCATAATCAAAAATCTAAACACATGTTTAGATTCAGCATATCAAAGAACCCCAAGAATTCAATTTTTGCTAAAATCAAACTAAGTTTAATTTTGGACCCTTTGGACCTTAATGTAGACCAATTTAAAAAACGGGACTTAAAATTAAAAATCTAAATACACGGTTAGATTTGGAATATCAAAGAACCCCAATAATTCAATTTTTGAAGAAATCAAACAAAGTTTAATTTTGGACCCTTTTGACCTCAATATGAACCAATTTGATAGCGGGGCCCACAAATAAAAAATCTAAATTCATGGTTAGATTCAGCATATCAAAGAACCCCATATATTCAATTTTTGTTGAAATCAAAAAAAGTTTAATTTTGGACCCCAACTTGGACCAACTTGAAAACTGGGCCCATAATCAAAAATCTAAACACATGTTTAGATTCAGCATATCAAAGAACCCCAAGAATTCAATTTTTGTTAAAATCAAACTAAGTTTAATTTTGGACCCTTTGGACCTCAATGAAGACCAATTTAAAAAACGGGACCCAAATTAAACATCTAAAAACACGGTTAGATTTGGCATATCAAGGAACCCCAATAATTCAATTTTTGATGAAATCAAACAAAGTTTAATTTTGGACCCTTTTGACCTCAATATGAACCAATTTGATAGCGGGGCCTACAAATAAAAAATCTAAATACATGGTTAGATTCAGCATATCAAAATACCTCATATATTCAATTTTTGTTGAAATCAAACAAAGTTTAATTTTGGACCCCAATTTGGACCAACTTGAAAACTGGGCCCATAATCAAAAATCTAAATACATGTTTAGATTCAGCATATCAAAGAACCCCATATATTCAATTTTTGTTGAAATCAAACAAAGTTTAAACGCTGGACCCTATCTTGGACCAACTTGAAAACTGGGCCCATAATCAAAAATCTAAACACATGTTTAGATTCAGCATATCAAAGAACCCCAAGAATTCAATTTTTGTTAAAATCAAACTAAGTTTAATTTTGGACCCTTTGGACCTTAATGTAGACCAATTTAAAAAACAGGACCCAAAATTAAAAATCTAAATACACGGTTAGATTTGGAATATCAAAGAGCCCCAATAATTCAATTTTAGATGAAATCAAACAAAGTTTAATTTTGGACCCTTTTGACCTCAATATGAACCAATTTGATAACGGGGTCCACAAATAAAAAATCTAAATACACGGTTAGATTCAGCATATCAAAGAACCCCATATATTCAATTTTTGTTGAAATCAAACAAAGTTTAATTTTGGACCCCAATTTGGACCAACTTGAAAACTGGGCCAAAAATCAAAAATCTAAATACATTTTTAGATTAAGCATATCAAAGAACCTCATATATTCAATTTTTGCTAAAATCAAACAAAGTTTAATTTTGGACCCTTTGGACCTTAATGTAGACTATTTTGAAAACTGGACCCAAAATTAAAAATCTAAATACACTGTTAGATTCGGCATAACAAATAAATAAATGTGATCAAAGATTTAACAAATCTAATGCGCCATACTGTGCAATTAAAGATTACTACTTGAAATTTTTCAATATTTGAAATTTGAAAAAAAAATAATATTTGGAGATTAATTCTTTTTAATTTCTGAAATCTGAAATGAGAAAATTGACCCCCCACAATTTCTATTTATCCCCCCCCCCCCTTTTTTCCCCAAAAAAATTCTTTCCCTCAAGATATGGTGATAATCTCAATTCAAATTTCCAATGGAGTTGGCAACCATAATTACCCATTTAAATTTACCATAGTGCTAACTTAATCTATTTTATAATAGAATTAAAAATATAGTGTCAAATCTTTCATATGGATTTTTTTGTAAAAAAAAATGATGCAACATTTGCAGATATTTTTACTGGTCTTCCTTTATAAATATGCATTTCTTTAAACATAATTTAAAAGCAGTGTAAGGGAAGTAACCAAAACGTTGTATTTGGATTACCTCCCTTACACTGTTTTAAATTATCTTTATTGTTCATTAACCATTACTTTATACATAATTTAAAAGCAGTGTAAGGGAGATAATTTCAATGATGTATTTGATTTATCTCCCTTACACTGCTTTAAATTATGTTTTGTACTAAAGTATTTGTCCATTAACCAGGACAACCTTGTTTTTCCCCCTTTTTTGCCCCTAATTCCTAAACGGTTTGAGCCATAACCCCCCAAAGCAAATCCTAACCATCCCTTTGTGGTATGGAAACTTGTAGTATAATTTCAGAGAGATCCATACACCGTTCCACAGTTATTGTCTGGAAACTAGAAAATGCTTATTTTTGGCCCCTTTTTGACCCCTAATTCCTTAACTGTTGGTACCATAACCCCCAAAATCAATCCCAACCTTCCTTTTGTGGTATTTAACCTTATGGTAAAATTTCAAAAAGATCCATTCACTTAAACTAAAGTTAGAGTGCGAAAACCAATGTGTCTTCGGACGACGACGCCAACGTCATACCAATATACGACCACAAAATTTTTTTGCGGTCATATAAAAACTGCAAAATTTCATTAAAATTACCAATTAAGTGGCAGCAACCCAACAATGTGTTATTAGATTCATCTGAAAATTTGAGGGCTGATAGAACTTGACCTACTGAAAACTTTAACTGCATTTCAGATTTGCTTTAAAAGCTTTAGTTTTTGAGATATAAGCTGAAAACTGCATTTTACCCCTATGTTCTATTTTTAGCCATGGGGGCCATGTTTTTTGACAAAACAGAAAATAAAACACAAACTTTTTTCTAGATACCCTAAGGATCGTTCAGCTTAAGTTTGGTTGGAATTGGTTCTGTAGTTTCAGAAAAGATGTTTGAAATAGTTTACACCAGACAGACGGACGACGACGGATGCCAAGTGATGGCAAAAGCTCACATTTCCTTCCGAAAGGTGAGGTAAAAATGAGGTGAATGACAATTTCATCCATATTGACATATATGTTGAATTTGTGTTGCTGATTATTTTATAAATAACAGTTTAAGTTTATCCATTATAGATAAAATGATGTAGGATAAAATCACAAATAAATTGGGAATGTGTCCATGGGACACAGATGATGCCCCCACTTGCATATAACATTTTAAAGGGACATAACTTAAGAACAGTAAAAGTGACACTACCGAAATATGTATTTGATCTGAGTTTTGTTGTAATAAGCATTGTGTATGAGTTTCATAACATTTGCTTGAGGCAAAATTAAGTTAGAAAACAAAAACGAAAAAATTGAATTTTTCCATTTGTAAAGGGGCATAACTCAATAACAGTAAAAGTGAGGCCACCAAAATTCAAACTTGATCTGTGTTTTGCAAACTAAAGTTAGAGAACAGAAATGAAAATTTCATCAATTTTTTCATTTGTAAAGGGGCATAACTCTAGAATGGTAAAAGTGATGCTACCCAAATTCAAACTTGATCTGTGTTATGTGGTAATTAGCATTGTGTATAAGTTTCATAACATTTGGTTGAGGCAAACTAAAGTAAGAGAACGTAAGTAAAACCTAATCAAAATCATCATTATTTCCTATCAGGGGTGAACCAATAATTGCAGTCAATTCAACTTATTGGTTGATCATATTTTGCTGATCATTTTTGATATTTCCAGATCTACTATTAAAGGTTTTGGGAGAAAATAAATCCTACAAGGAATCAACTGATAATTTAGTCATCCAGAAACCAAAATGTTGCCAGAATTTCATTCAATGCAATGATCTTTGACCTTTGACCTGTTGACATAAAAATCAATAGGGATCTTCTTCACCATGAGGGTGAGGAAGTCCTCAGGACACATCAGTACCTACAAAATATAGTGTCGAGCTTCTGCAGATGCCATCACAAGTTGGTTGATCATTACAGAATATCTGTTTCACAGAAAACAATAGACATGTAGTGACCACAATCCTGTCCTCTTTTCCACGAATAAAACTTATCAATAGGTTTGTACCTACTGCATGTATAAATTTTCGTGGATTGAGAAAAATGCATTTTCATGGATATTTGATTTCTTGGTTTTAACAATGGCTATACACGAAATCCACAAAAATTGGTATCCAAAGATATAATAATGAATCCACAGTATATGAGCAACATGAAGGGTGCCAGATGTGGAGCAGGATTTGTCAACTCTTCCAGAGCACATGATATCACCACTGGTTTTTTGGTGTGGTTTGTTTTGTTCAGTTTTTAGTTTTTTATGCTGTGTTTTGTGTATTGGTGTTTGTCTTCACGTTGTTTTTGTTTTTTGCCATGGCATTGTCAGATTATTTTTCGACTTATGGTTTTGAATATCCCTTTAGTATCTTTTGTCTCTCTTCTATCATCTACAATGTAAATGAATGTAATAAAACGAAAAACTTGTTTAAACCTTTACGCTGCAAAGAATGTCCAGAGGTTACATCAGTGCTGTCATTTTAATTGTCAAGTTAGAAGATGTCATCAATACATGAACTAATGATATACCTCTTATATTCCTTGGGATAACTTCCTCCTGCTCAGATTCTTTCTCATCTTTTTCTGGAATAAGAACATATAGACTATTTAAAAAAAATAAAAGTTATCAATAGAAATTCTCATTCAAGAGTCACAAATGTTATGAACATATCAATTATATATGACCTCAAGCATCTGATACTGGTTACATATTTAAATCTGACATCATACAACTGAAACTTATAATCTTTGACATTAAACAACTAAAACGGATTACAATTAACATCAAACAACTTAAACTGATTACATTTGACATCAGACAACTTAAACTGATTACATTTAACATCAGACTACTAAAATGAATTACATTTAACATAAGACAACTAAAACGGATTCCATTTAACATTAGACAAATAAAACTACATTTAACATCAGACAACTAAAACGGATTACTTTAACATAAGGCAACTACAACTGACTGCATTTAACATCAGACAACTAAAACAGATTACATTTAAGATAAGACAACATGAACTGATTACATTTAACATCAGACAACTAAAACGGATTACATTTGACATCAGACAACTAAACTGATTCCATTTAAGATAAGACAACATGAACTGATTACATTGAACATCAGACAACTAAAACGGATTACATTTGACATCAGACAACTAAACTGATTCCATTTAAGATAAGACAACATGAACTGATTACATTTAACATCAGACAACTAAAACGGATTACATTTGACATCAGACAACTAAAACGGATTACATTTGACATCAGACAACTAAACTGATTACATTAAAGATAAGACAACATGAACTGATTACATTTAACATCAGACAACTAAAACGGATTACATTTAACATCAGACAACTAAAACGGATTACATTTGACATCAGACAACTAAACTGATTACATTTAAGATAAGACAACATGAACTGATTACATTTAACATCAGACAACTAAAACGGATTACATTTAACATCAGACAACTAAAACGGATAACATTTAACATCAGACAACTAAAACGGATTACATTTAACATCAGACAACTAAAACTGGTTACATTTAACATCAGACAACTAAAATGGATTACAATTAACATCAGACAACTAAAACTGATTACATTTAACATCAGACAACTAAAATGGATTACATTTAACATCAGACAAATAAAACAGATTACATTTAACATCAGACAAATAAAACAGATTACATTTAACATTAGATAAATAAAATAGATTACATTTAACATCAGACAACTAAAACTGATTACATTTAACATTAGACAAATAAAACAGATTACATCTATCATCAGACAAATAAAATGGATTACATTTAACATCAGACAACTAAAACTTGTTACATTTAACATCAGACAACTAAAATTGGTTACATTTAACATCAGACAACTAAAACTGATTACATTTAACATCAGACAACTAAAACGGATTACATTTAACATCAGACAACTAAAACTGATTACATTTAACATCGGACAACTGAAATTAATTACAATTAACATCAGACAAACAAAACTGATTACATTGGACATCAGACAACTAAAACTGGTAACTATTTACATCAGACATCTAAAACTGATAACATTTAATTTCAGACAGTTGAAACTTATTACATTTGAAATAAGACAACAAAAACTTGTTACATTTGACATCAGACAACACAAACTGATTACATTATGCATTAGACAACTGAAATTGATTACATTTAACATCAGACAACTAAAACAGATTACATTTAACATCAGACAACAAAAACTGATTACATTTAACATGGACAACTGAAATAAATTACATTTAACATCAGACAAACAAAACTGATTACATTTGACATCAGACAACTAAAACTGGTAACTATTTACATCAGACTTCTAAAACTGATAACATTTAACTTCAGACAATTGAAACTTATTACATTTGAAATAAGACAACAAAAACTTGTTACATTTGACATCAGACAACACAAACTGATTACATTTTGACATCAGACAACTGAAATTGATTACATTTAACATTAGACAACTAAAACAGATTACATTTAACATCAGACAAACAAAACTGATTACATTTGACATCAGACAACTAAAACTGGTAACTATTTACATCAGACATCTAAAACTGATAACATTTAACTTCAGACAATTTAAACTTATTACTATTGAAAAACTTGTTACATTTGACATCAGACAACATAAACTGGTTACATTTTGACATCAGACAACTGAAATTGATTACATTTGACATCAGAAAACTTAAACTGACGACATTTAACATCAGACAACAAAAACTGATTACATTTAACATGGACAACTGAAATAAATTACATTTAACATCAGACAAACAAAACTGATTACATTTGACATCAGACAACTAAAACTGGTAATTATTTACATCAGACTTCTAAAACTGATAACATTTAACTTCAGACAATTGAAACTTATTACATTTAAAATATGACAACAAAAACTTGTTACATTTGACATCAGACAACACAAACTGATTACATTTTGACATCAGACAACTGAAATTGATTACATTTAACATCAGACAACTAAAACAGATTACATTTAACATCAGACAAACAAAACTGATTACATTTGACATCAGACAACTAAAACTGGTAACTATTTACATCAGACATCTAAAACTGATAACATTTAACTTCAGACAATTCAAACTTATTACTATTGAAAAACTTGTTACATTTGACATCAGACAACATAAACTGGTTACATTTTGAAAATTGATTACATTTGACATCAGAAAACTTAAACTGACGACATTTAACATGAGACAACTGATTACATTTGATATTAGACAACTAAAACTGATTACATTTGACATCAGACAACTGAAACTGATTTCATTTGACACCAGACAACTAAAAGTGGTAACTATTAACATCAGACATCTAAAACTGATATCATTTAACATTAGACAAATGAAACTAATTACATTTGAAATCAGACACCTGAAATTTATTACATTTAACATCAGACAACTAAAACAGATTACATTTAACATCAGACAACAAAAACTGATTACATTTATCATTAGATTACTACAACAGATTACATTTAACATCAGACAACTGAAACTAAAAATATTTATCATCATATAACTAAAACTGATTGCATTTAACATCAGATAACTAAAACAGATTACATTTGACATCAGACAACTAAGCTGATTACATTAGACATTAGATAACAAAACTGATTACATTTAACATCAGACAGCTAAAACATATTACATTTAACATCAGACAACTTAAACTGATTACATTTTAAATCAGACAACTATAACTGATTACATTTAACATCAGACAACTTAAAACTGATTGCATTTAACATAGGACAACAGAAATGGGTTTTGACATCAGACAACTAAAGCTGATTGCATTTAATATCATATAACTGAAACTGATAGCATTCATTAACAGACATCTAAAACTGATTACATTTGACATCAGACAACTAAACTGATTGCATTTAACATCAGACAATAAAACTGATTACTATTAACATCAGACAATTAACACTGATTACATTTAACATGTAACATCAGTCAATAAAAACTGATTACAATTAACATCAGACAACAAAAACTTATCATATTTGACATAAGACAACTGAAACCTATTACATTTGACATCAGACAACAAAATCTGATAACATTCATTAACAGACAACTTGAACTGATAACATTTAACATCTGACAACTAAAACTGATCACATTTAAAATCAGACAACAAAACTGATTACATTTAACATCAGACAACTAAAATGGATTACGTTTAACATCAGACAACAAAAACTGATTACATTTGACATCAGACAACTAAACTGATTACATTTGACATCAGACAACTAAATCTATTACATTTGACATCAGAAAACAAAATCTGATAACATTCATAAACAGACAACTTAAACTGATAACATTTAACATCTGACAACTTAAACTGGTTACATTTAACATCAGACAACTAAAACAGATTACATTTTACATCAGACAACTAAAACTGTTTACATTTGACATCAGACAACTGTAACTGATTACATTTGACATCAGACAACTTAAACTGATTACATTTGACATCAGACAACTGTAACTTATTACATTTTACATCAAACAACTAATACTGTTTACATTTAACATCAGACAACTGTAACTGATTAAGTTTAACTTTAGGCATCAGATACTGATTATATTTCCATCACATTTGAATAGTTGAATAAAGTGAACATTTGTGTTAGTTTATTACAAATGTTATCTTTCATTATTGCTAATGTCTTGTTAAATAGAATGACCAATTTGACTCCTGTTTTTTTAATGATTTATTCCATGGATTAAAAAGAAACAAGAGTGCACACACTGAAATGTCTTCTCAGGTTTTTGTTTCATGATTGAATTATGCTGAATGTCTGTATTATGTAGGTTTTAATTCAAGTATCAGATAAACTAGACATAATCAAAGATCCATGTAAATGAGGTCAAGGTCAGAGAAATCCCACTAGATCAACATCTTGAACATGTACACCATGCAATCATTCCATACACCAAATATAGTTGACCTATTGCTTATAGCATCTAAGAAACAAAACCGTGAACATTAACAAGTATCAGATAAACTAAACATAATCAATAAACCATGAAAATTAGGTCAAGGTCACATGAGCTCTATCAGACAGTCATGTTCACCTTACAATAATTCAATACACCAACTATAGTTTACCTATTGCTTATAGTTTCTGATATATATACTGACAAACCCCCAAATATAGTGGCTCTATTAGATAAAGTCTCTGAGGAATAAACCAAACCACATAAACTTAACATTGACCAATGAACAATTAAAAAAGGTCAAGGTCAGACAAAACATGCCAGTGGGACATGTACACCTTAAAATCATTCCATACACCAAATATAGTAGGTTTATTGTTAATAGTATCTGAAGTAACGACTTGACCACGAAAAGTTAACCTTATCACATGAAATGAGGTCGAGGTCAGGTGAACCCTGTGTTGCGGACATGTAGACTTTGCAAGG